CGAGGCGGCCACAGACGTGTTTCACGAACATGTCAATGCGTCGCATTATATTTGTATACGTACACAGAAGGGAGTTTTATGACATTTATAACATCTTTACCTTGTGTACTTTAAATCACGTGACATTCGAAGTCAGCATTTAGCACTTTCACTGACCTCAGGAGCCGCGCACGAGCCACTCGAGTGCAAATGCGGAAGGGTAAGAAAGGGTGGGGGAAATACTAATTGCAGGAGTGGGGACTACCAATGAGAATACGCGATTCTAACCGTAGCACATAAATTGAACGAGCAATCGGCGAGAAAACATACACTTCAAGAAATATTCACTTTTGCATTTTTATTGGAAATGATTGTTGTGGATAGATGACAATGTAAAATATGAACCTTAAACAAATAAGACACATATTTAATTTGAGCACCAAGTATTATAATTGCTTGTAGGGCTGTTCATGTAATTCACTTTTCTATGATGCAATCACAAATTTATTCACATGTGCTAAAGACAAAATTGTAATATTGAATAGTTTTTGTTTGAAGAAGATAGTTTCATATTATTTTTTATTTAGTAATTTTAATTGAATTAGACGGTTAGATAAAAGTTAAAAATGTTATTCTTAAAAAATATTAATTACTTTCTTTTCTAACGAGATTTATGACTTTGATTTATGATTTATGACTTTGATTTATGACGAGAGTACATTATATATTTCTATTACCAAATCAAAAAACACTATTTATTCATAATGGTTTACGACATTGTATAAAAAAGATTAACGTAGTTGCATTTTTTTTAACAAGACCCATAAAAATATCACGATTGCCCTGACATACCACGAGAAAGGTTTGCTCGATATCTCGTTTTGCTTTTGCTATGATTCGGAGATTATAACATTCTTGATGAAAAATAAATTATTAAATTGTAAATTTTTGTTAGAATTAAATAATAAATTTATTAAACGACCACTGCCTTCAAATATTTTTTAAGAGCCACAATGAGTGAAAACTAAAAAAAAAATCAAAAAGGGAAACATTCGATACTTAGCAGAGCACAGAAAAACAGTGAACTACGGCCCTTGCAGCTAGAAATAATAGACATTTAAAATTTAAATAAGTGGGCCAATAATTTCGCAGCATTAGACCCTGTTATTCAGTGGAAATTCTTTTTATTCGAAACTCTATGCTTCTGCACATGTTTTTCCAATTCCCATCAAAAGTTCTCTGTAATATTGTAATCGGGTAAATGTGGCAGCGTTTCAAGGCGCTTTGGTACTTCATATAATTACCATAACTTCACAATATGCGCTGTATGGATGAAAGCGTTGTCGTGCTGAAAGTAATAAGTCAGCCTCAGAGCAAGATTAGCTGTATTTTGACATTACTTTCTAAAATTAATAAATATCCAAATTTGTTAACTGTGGAATCAATAAAATGGAGTTTCCCGACACCTGACGCAGATAAACAGCCCCATACGATTACGGAAACCCTGCCTTGCTTTACAGTTGCAAGCAAATTTTTATCTTCTGAGGCTGAGTTTACCTTCCTCCACACGTACTACTGGCCCATCTGATCCCAATATCGTGAATTTACTTTCATTGTTGAAAACAACTGTTTGCCAGAAGAAAACTATCTTCCACCAGACCAATGCCCTAGCACGTAAATGCACTCTGATTGATGGTTTCTGCAATATTTCGCACACTGCAGTATATTGAGCAGATTTGTCTTACTAATCCGAGGATTCTACTTCGCTACACTCCAGTTGTAACCAGCGTCTCGTAGCGCCTTTGGAGAGTTTCTGAGGATAGATCTACCTGTTGAAACCATCCATGGAGTCATTTTAACGACACTTTGACGAAGATTCCTACTGATGTTATTAACAATATTTCTTATATCTCGTTCGTTGAGTAACGGATTTCTGCCTCAGCCTATTTTATTAAATAATATGATATCGTACTTGAATTGGTCTACCTACCTTGAATAGTTGAATGAGACCTTCCCATTGTCATCGCAATACCTAGTAGTGATCTTCCCTTCATGGCCGAATTCACAATAAGTCTTCGTTCTTTCATTGTTTTTTTTCCTTTCTCCGGGACATTTTCAGTTCGATGATGCTTTGCGCAAATATGACCATCAACTAATCTGTGACAACTCTGTACCCAAGAAAACATTTCAACGGTTACGTTTCAAAGCGCGCTTGTGGTGGTTCATTTCTGTGCAACGCTTATTTGTAGGTGTCACACAAAATATTTAATTTTAAACATAATAAATTAAATTTATGCATTCAAATTGAACTAGTCCTTCCAGGGCATATCGAATATCACAATTACATATTTTATTTTCAGAAATATTCATATGAGAAGAATTATGGTATAATTAAAGGTGTACATTCAATTTTGAGAGCCACTGTAGACCTCGAAGACAGATCCCAGAACTATTCAAATGATTGTCCCCTGGAAAGTAGAACTTGCCGAAGACTCTGCGTGACTTTGCAAGTTATTCCATCGAGCCGATTGCTGTAGGTAGCTTTCCTAATGTGTGTTGTGCGTGTTCATTAAATTTCAGAAAATCTAATATCGCGAGTGGAAAATTTCTTCGTAAAAGCTGACCGTAATTCATTCAAGATTCGAAGATGTGTATGGTTCTCTTCAACCTCCATTTTCATCTGGAAGAAATACGCGGACGAGTTTAAACGTGGTCGTGACAAATTACAAAATAATCTACGACAAGTGTAACAACACCGGAAAAATAGGAAAAATGCACCTTACGGTTTTGGAAGATCGATGTCGGAAGGTGCGTAAAATAATTAAGATAGCAGGAATTTCAAATGAACGCATTAGCTACATTTTTTTACGAACATTTTCTCGTGAATATGTTTTGCGCAAAATGGGTGCCGTACCAGCTCACAGCGATTCCAAGTGCATACTCATACAGCATTTCGAACGGTATGGTGCGTTTTAGAAAAAAACGTATTTTTCCACGTCACTATGTGACATGGATGACTCATGGATTCGCCATTTCACATCTGAATAAAAACAATAATCCGTTCTCGCACAGAAGCTGAATAGTCTCTAAAGACCGTGAAGACTTCGTCAACAGCAATAATTGTCATAGCGTCGTTTTAGTGTGATGAAATATAATTACTCTTAATTTATTTTGAGAAAAAGTAAAACTATAATTTGGGTAAAAGTAAAACTATAATAAAACTGTAACCGTTTAAAGAAAATGGCCAAACAAATTCCTGAATAGCGATCCGACTTTCAGAAGAAAACTATCTTACACCAGACCAATGCCCTTGCACGCAAATGCTTGGCGATGGAAAAATTGAGAGCGTATGAAACGTATTTTCGTGATTATTCTTCCCGTGTCTTATCTCTCCTAAGAACTCCAAATGTTCCTCACTAAGCCTGGAGTTTTCAGCCGACCAAGATGTTGCGTCTCGAGGGGCGTACTTTGTGGTACATCCGGACGACCTTTACAGAGAAGGGATAATGGAGTTGGAACATCTCTGGGAGCAATGCTTTAGTATAAATTAAGATTACGGTGAAAAAATAAAGCAATTATGGAGAACGTAGAATTTCATTTTCATTTACAGGCTGACAACGTTTCAGTCCGGCTTTGTATTTATACGTGCGTTGCTTCGGCTGAAAACTCACTTCAGTGTATTATCTTTGTCTATTTTAAAACAACCTGAGTGAGATGTGTGAGGATCATTCCACGCCACATCACTAAGGGTTCCAACGCTTACAGTTTTATATTTTTTCAAACTTCGTGTACATAGACTCTTAAAAGGAGTGGAAAAGGACATGTTGAGTATCAGTAATTTGTATCTTCTGATACAATTCTCATTCCTGTTAAAAACTTTTATACAAATGATATACAAATAGAAGTACGGATTATATTTCTTCGTTGTTTTAAAAAGTGCATCTTCTATAGTTAAATTTTAAAATATGCATTTGTGAATTTGAACAAAAAAGAAATTATTTTTCTTTCCAATGTACCCCAAAAATGTTATTTATAATATTTAAATTGACATGTAAAATTAATAGAATAATTTTATTTTTTTAAAATATATTTACTTCTAGTTTCTTCGCTTTGCCTTTCAAGTGTTTAAATACAATAGCATTTTCATTATAAATGTGAGTATCCATGAGTTCTTGAGATTTACATGGCTGCTCCATTTGTTAGATGTTTAATTTAGAATTTGCTTGATTTAGTGTTTAAGTATTAAGTACAAACTTTAATATTAGTCATACTATTTGACTTTTCTTCATCATCTCCTTACGGGGGTCGAAATTTTTCTTAGGGAATTTGGACTTAATTCGAGGAGGGTGCACAGCATTACATCCTCGGTTAAATTTATTTATTAAATCGGAAGTGTTGAGAGTAGTATAAAATCTTTCCAAAATTGTGGAGATGTGATATTTCATTTGATCCATGCATCACTCCTCATGGATCTGAGAATTGGGTATAAACTAGGGCGCTTCTCTGATTTTTCTAAGACATTTGTTCAGTACTGTAGTTCTTTGTAATGCGTGGTTTTTCTATTGATGAGGGAGCTGCGTTTCCCCAAGCAGGACACGCATATGTGAAGATGGGTAAAATGATTGATTTAAGTATCAAAAGCTGACATTCAAATCTTAATGAAGATTTTCTGTTTATTAGTGGGTATAGTTTTGACATTTTCCCCTGGGTTTTATTTACTTTTGCAAGGGTGTGGGGTTTACCGATTAATCTTTTATCGAATTGCACACCAAGGGCCAGTGTTATGAAAGGGTATTAATTATTATGAAATATGAATATTATAATTATTAATTAATAATTAATTAATTATAAATATGAATATTATAATTATTATGAAATATGAAAGAGTATTAATTCTTATATTATGAAAGTATAATTGGGCCAGTATTCCATTGAATAGGGCTGCCGTTGCATAGAATCTGCCCCTGCGAAGGTCGGGGCTTGCGGAGGAGCCGCGTGCGAGCGTGCGTGCGGGGCCTTACCATCCAATGTACCAGGGCCGCTGGCCCTCCCGCAGCGCGGCGCGCGCCTCTGACATGTTGAGCGCCTGAAGCAGGTGCGTGAACTCCGTGTCGTAGGGGAAGAACTGGCAGCCGAAGCGCGCGTGCGCCCCGCCGCCGCCCTCTGCCGCGCGCGCGTACACGTCCTTGAAGAAGGCGAAGGAGAAGACGCGCGGCGCCGTCCAGTTGGCTGTCGCGTCCGTCACCACCACCGGGCGGCCCGAGTACGCGTACCTGCGCAGGAGGAACGGAGAGTCACCTTGGAATTGAATTGAATTGAATTTATGCCTTATTTGACGTGGCGAGACTCAGGCCATGAGGCCTGCTCTTCCGTCTGGCCACGCAAATTTCGCTACGCTCCTTGCACCAGCTAGCAGAGAAAGGAGGTATTTCTTGGGCGAGAAACGGCTATTTGAATTTAGCTCAGAGGCGTCATTTAGGCTTGAGGACCTTTTACATGCAAGTAAATCTACTAACATGGGACAGCCGGCTTTACTTCCTCTCCGAAGGAAGGCGTACGAAGGATTTTTTCGCCCTTAAAAATCCACGGCTTCCGATACGCTAACCGTTACACCATCGCCGCGCGCTTTAACGGCCGGCCTCCGTTAATTGTTTAACAGTACGCTGTCCATTGAAAACAATCGAAACAGGTTGTTAAATATTAGCAATAAATCCTCATATTAAAAAGAATTGTATTTGTTCTTTAATTTTTTTCTGATAAGTTTGTATTATGAAAGTATATGTGGACTCACAGTCTCTAACATAAATGGCAGACTTGGTTGGTTATAAACCTCCTCTATTACCTCGATATACCTACTTCAACCGTCCGTTTTTTGCACATTATCGGCCTAAGGACATTAATAAGTATTACAGACCTACAAAACGTAATAGTTTTTAACCTAGACATATTATTACAACTGAAATTACACAACGATTCCACTATGGATGTAGTCTTCCTCAGGGGTTTGTTTTAACCACTTAACCAAGTTTTCAGTTATATATTTCGTATTCCATCATGCCACTTTTGGGTGGTCACATACTACGCAATCTTCCGGGACAATATTCTGCTTCCCTCTGTTTATTCTATTCAATTTTCCAGTTAAAATCTCTCTTTTTGATATCACTGATTTCGACGTTCATGGAACATTTGTGAAGGTAGTTGTCTAGTTAAAGAATAAAATTATATAAATGCAAAATATGCTTCCACACACATTAATTTACCAAAATAATTACTAGAGTACTGAATGTCAAACTTCACTTTATGAAGTGTCCTAGAGAATGAAGGGTAGACAACCGGCGGAGGGAATCTGATGACTTCTATGCTATTTACAATATTTCAAAGGAAAACAATATATTGTAACACGTAATAAGGGAAGTATATTGCAGGCTTCCTACGCTAGTTTCAAAGCCCAATGGCAGAAACAAAAGAAAATGTAAGGAAAATAGTCAATATTTTAATACTAAGCCTACAACACACCTTATACACTTCACCGAACCGAACCGACTATGCTCAATAGTCTTCGCAAGGCGCTTGCGAAGACATTCCAATACTTTGACAAAGGAGCGTCACCATGGTAACGACAGAAGCTGATGAGTGGGGTACTGGTGAATTTGCATTCAAAGGATTCGCTGATATGAAGAGCTAGCCACGGCGAAGGTGACTTCGCTTTCATGATCAGCGGCTGGCAGCAGAGAGTCTAACGCCCTGAAGTTCACGTGATACCAGCGGGGAAGTAGCCACGTTTCTTCTCATTTCGCTCTCGTTTTAATAGTTTTCCGATGACGATAAATTCGCAGTAAATAAGAACCGACGGTGGATCTTCCAAACCAAATTGACTGATTTATTCGTGTTTCCGGTCACGTCAACTGCTAAAGTCATTAGGCCCGTAAATGTAATACATGCGTTGTCGCGAGAAGTAGAGGTGACCTCGCACCCGCAGGATGACTAGATCCAGCGCTGACCTACACATCAGCTTCTAAGGTTTTCTTCAACCAAGAGTCTCCTACTAGAGCATCGCCCCAGCCGGGACAAAGGCTTAGCTTCAGGCTGGTCTCCCGATATATGTTATAATGTGCATTTAATGTAAGTGTGCGTAAGTAGGGGTGTGGATAAGAGAAGGAAAGCGGAGGAAAGATCGTGCGCAGGGGGTGGCCCATTTGTTAGGGAACTGTTCGGGCAATCGCCTGGTGTAGATCGAAGAAACCATAGAAAACTACCAGGACAGCCGGCTGCTAGAATTGTCCTCCAGACAGCGGCTGAATTCCACCTAGCTATGTGGATGTGTGATTGTGATCGAGAACAGAATGGATCGTGATGTAGTGCATTGATTGAATGGGTGAGTGGAAAAACAGTACTAGTCCAAGATTGGTTATTTTAGTTTTAAAAAAATTTTAAATTTATTTTCTTATATTTCCCTCCAGAAATGAGTGCAGAAAGAATGGTACTACATGTTGAGACTGAAAATATTTCAATATGGGATAAAAATAGTTCAATATGACTTCAAATCAGATACACCTTCTCTTTCATGAGTGAAAGAACGGTATACCATTTACCGGTTTAAACCATATTAAAACGATTAGTTTTAAATATAATCTTAATCATTAGATGAGGTTTAAAAATCATTAAATAATATGTTGTACTGTGGACTATATTTTCCCAAGAAAAAAAAATGTTCGAATTCAACGTGATTTTTCATTCTCAGCTGCATATTTACTGTTTATTGAAAATAAATAAAAAAGACTCTCTTTTTTCAATTTGTTTATTTATTATTACTCATGTATTTCTTTTGAGACCCTTTAGGAGACTACGAGTTCACATTAGGCAACCGATATTCCAATTTAGACTGACTGCATATTTTCAAATTTTTTCAATCTTCTCTACCAGAAACAATGTAATTTAAATATTATATTATATAAAAACGTACATAGATTGTGAATTGTGCTAGTAAACATTTCGTTTCAATTGAATATTTATTGAGAGCATGGAAATGAAAAAAAAATTTGTCCAAATTAGGTAATTTTCCCTTGTACTGGTTTGTAAGTTTTCCATCACGCCACATACGCTGTTTTGAGGGACGAGATCGCCTAGATGCTACCACCACAAGCTTCTAAGCCAGGCAAACCAAAATTGAAACGATATGGAAAGGTAATGCGTGCTGGGTTTGAAATTCCACCACGTCACAACACATGAGTCACGTCACACCTAGACGGGACTCAAGCCCATAACACGTCGGTGCGAGATTACACTGCTCGGCTGCATTAGCGATACTGGCCGTGTACGCGAGTGTCCAAAAGTGAAGCATCAAGGAGGTTGGGGACATGGAATGCACGAGAAGTCCCTGAATACTGGCAAAGTTATCAGTGTCACAGTGCGATTTTATCCAACAACCTCGTCATGCGCAAAAGTGAACACTCTGGCGCTCGTAGTGAAATGCTGCTCAGTGTCAGTGATAACAGCGCGCCGTATCCAGTTTAAATGTTGCTTGCGCATAGTGTAGGAACGTGATCTGCGGCGTGGGTGAGTGTGGATATAAAGAAGAAGATGTGTTTATTTTGAATAAAAATACACTTGTAATCCGTTCTTGAAACAACTTGCACACTTGACAATTACTGCTTCACGGCTAGCTTCCGTGAAATAGTACATTTTCAGGGGAAGTCACTTTCTCGATGCATGGCCCCTACAACTCTACTGATGGACTAAGTCCACAGTTAATACTGAGTGGGAGCTGGAATGAATGCAGGCTAGAATGAGTTCACATGAAGCAATGTCCAAGACAAGTGCGTCATAGGCAGATCGCCTATCTGATGAGACCGTATGGTCGAAACTAAATGCCTAAGAGGGTGTTGTTTTACTACTCTTCACTGCCTGTCCCCTACCTAGGCGTGAACTTCACCCCTAGCGCCGGTCTGGTGTAGGCCGAGTTTGTAAAATTGTTTGTAGATGTGGAGGAATAGGTTTCTATGCAGTGATAATCAGTAAACGACAACTTTACTGACCATTTTGCGCGGAGGACCACCGAGGATACACCTGTATGGTATTTTACATTCAAATACCAAGACGAATAAGAGAAGAAAAACTTTGACTTTTCAGTGACGACGACAAAGAAGAAGACAAAAACGTCAAAGAAGAATACTGAACAAAAAACGAAAAATAATAAAACGTCAAAGAATAATTTGACGGAAAAATAAATGACGTAAAAAAGAGGACGGCAAAGAAGGGGATGATAATTACAAGAAACATCGCCACGAAAACAACAACTTACAACCCGACGAAACCGCTGTTGATGTAGCCGACGACAACGCTGAAGACAACGACGCCACCGCCGCCGCGTAGGACGTCAACGAGAACAAAATGACGACGTCAGGACAATACGTCGACAATAACGATCAAGACGACGATAACGATGCAGAAGGCATCGAGGACGCCGCAGAAGACGTGCCGAAAGTCGATGGCGCCCGTCACCGAAAACCCCGGCAGCGTCGTCGACATCGACGTCGCCGAAGGCGAAGGAAGTTTCGATGAAGAACAAGAATGGAAGACGATGAAGACGGAACACCCAGATGACGGCAAGAAAATGCGATAATGATGACGGTGACGCTGCAGAAGACGTCGACGCCGCCGCCAAAGAAGATGTCGAAGTTAACAGCGACGACGCAGAAGACTGCGACGGGAAGTCTCCGTGAAGAAAATGAAAGGAAGACGACTTCCACGAATAAACACTTGACGAGGACGGTCACGATAGACGTGAATGAAGGCGATAAAATAAAGAGAAAAATTAAGACGAAGAGAACATTGAAGAGGGTGAAGGAGAAAATGATTCAGGAGCTCAGGATAATAATGGCAGATCGCACCCGACCTCGCATTTACAGTGTGTCTGTAAACTTCTACCTACCTGAATTGGTATACTGCAAAAACTTCCACTTTCAAAAATTTTGCCTGTAGTGAATGTGAATGTAAACGAAAACAGAAAAAGTCATATTTCTCTAAACAACTTCGGTTGGAGAGGCTGGTATTATTCTGAGCGCCTAAAAAAATTGTTGAAACGGTTTAAAAACGCTAAGAGTTAAAACGTATTCATTAAACGGTCGTGTTTACGCCCAAATGTTTGTCCACTATTTGAGGTC